GGCCCTATCATGGGTGGTGCGGAGGCAGGGTAGCTTTGGGCTGGAATTGATTTCAAATGTCAGCAATCCCACAGCTAGTCTCTTGAGCCCTCAAACCCTATTTATAGCAAAGACGAAGTTTACTGGGCTCTGTCTTTATTATTGTTTACTGTGGCATGAAACCAAAGGAGAGTACAAATAGCACACGTGTGGCCCATTCCCTCCCTCCTTCCAGGAAGGTTAAGGAATTGGCTTTGTCTCTTGCTGAAAATAAAAGAAAAAAAAACCCACACACAGGTTTTTCCTGGGTATTGGGAGGTCAATGCCACCTTGGCCTTATGGTGACTTGTTTACCAATCAGGTGTCAGGGAAATGCTAATGACTGGGAGTAGCTCCTATCAGGCTGAATAAATCCTTTGCTCCCAATTCCAAAACACAATGGCACATGAATGACTAAGCAATTCTGATAACAATTCAATAGGCAAATGTCAGCTTGCTTTGATTAAACATTACTTTTGGAACAGTTTCAAGGTCTTTAAAGGCACATCAGTTTCTCTCTCATAAGACAACACCCCCCTCCTCCCAGTAGCCTATCTAGTAGATTTAACCATTTATATTACAACAATCATAGCTAATTTTTCAAAGTAATTTGAACTCCCATGAGTTTTCATGAATACAGCAGGGAAAAAAAATGCACAAAATCTTCCTCCTTTCTAAGGTCCCAATTACAACGTAATTTCTACCCTGCTATGTCACGGTTGACCTTTGACATAGTTATAACACAATTCAATTTGCAGGATAAATGGGACTGAGCCATGTTTCCATATATGTTTTTGGCCGTTAGCAGGTGATGAAGGAGAGATGTAACCAACTGCAATTTAGGAATAGGGTTAAAACATAGTTCAGTCCTTTCAGTAATGCAGAGCTAACCCATATTTTAGCTATATTAGCTCTGTGCTGTACCTGGGTTGCTTAAACTGTAAACTCCCTCTCCCCCTTTTTTCCAGAGACTATTTACGTGAAGAGTTTTCCTTTGTTTGCACCTCTAATACACACCAAAAATTATCTCTGACTTGTACAAAAAGAAATACCCTCACGCGCAGACCTGTGCTTATGTCTTTTGCCTTCAGTCAGTTGTAAAATAAGATCCTCAGCACTGAATCTATAATGGGGACTGCAGTGCAGATGGAAAAAGCATAGTCACAACCGATCCTATGTCTCCACTGATAGATGTGTCTCATATAGGGGAAAGAGGGCTCACAGAAGCATAACACACACTTGCATGGATACTGGCACTTTTCTGAGCCCACTCGTATTTCCATTTACATAAAGGGCATTTGGTATGACAGTTAAAGGCAGCTGAGTCCGAAGGCAGAATGGGTAAAATGCTGGCCCTGGTGAAGTCAATAGGAATTTGGTTCTGGGCTGCGTTAGTGAAGTGCTACCTGCCTTACAGCTCAGAAAATTCAAAGAGAAAGGGGGATAAAAGCTCCATGCCGTTCTGCCTAATGCATTCATAATCAGGATTGGGTCACTGGTTCTGGCAAACACCACAGCTACCATTTCCTTCTGCCTTCATCCTCAGGCTTAAAACAGCATGTGCTGTGGCATTCCCCAAATCCACAGTCAAGACTGTTCACCTTGCATCTTCTCAGAAAGATGATGGGCATGGGCGTAGGTAACAGCCTCCACACACAAGATCAAGATTGTGGCAACAAGCTGGCTCACATATGTACACAAGCCACCTCTACTGTAGTACGATGAGCTGACTGAGGGCAGGTCTACACTATAAAATTAAGTCAATTTTACATATGTTAGCATACAGCCGCCACAGTAATTACATTGCTTGTTTGCGTTGGTGGTGCATGTCCCTGTCAGGAGTGCTTGTGTCCTTTGTACGGTGTGGGGCACTGTGGGAAGGCTTTTGAAAGCCAGTAAGTCAATGTAAGAACATAAGAACACTAATGCTGCAACAACCTAACTACATGGACACAGACACTACACCTCCCATAGAAGAGGAATTAAATTGGCGTAGCTGGGCAGCTGTGTTAGCGGGAGCGAAGTTTTCATGTAGACACTTGGGTCAACATAAGCTGCCTTGCTTTGTAGTGTAGACAAGGCCTAAGATATGTGATATCAAGCCAATTATTTTTTGCTCAATTGCCAAGGGATGTTATTCTTTGCGGGCAGAGGTCTCAGGTCTGAATCCCACTGTTTTTGCTTGATGCAGCAGGTAGGCAAAGAATGGAGAGAGAGAGTGGGAGTCAAATCACAAGATCACCTCAGGAACACTTTTGCTCGCCATTGGCCTACAGAGCTGCAGTACCCAGCAGCTCCCATTTGATAGCACAAAGATTCCTAACAAAATCATCATGTCAGTCCTTGGGGCTTTGTTGTTTTCTGGTTGGTTGGTTTTATTTATTTTCTTGGAGAGTTCTCTGTGATGCCAGTCTTGCTTTATTAGAGAAACCTGCTCAAAGGGATACACAAGATGGCTCAGCTTCTTTTGTGAACTCCAGCAGGAGGGGCAGCCGGTAACATTATCAATGAGGTTCTAGACAAGTGATTGTGTAATGCCACTAGGCAGAACCATACCTGGGACCTCTGGAGCTTAGTGCATGAGCCTCTACTGCTTGAGCTAAAAGCAAGCTGGCTCTCAGCTAGGGCTGTAGAGCAGACTCATTCTTTCTCTCTGGAACTGGTCTAAGTACCACTAGGTGGGAAGTGAACCACACCCAGAAGGGTTATGATTACACACACACACACACACACACACACCCCCTTGGACATAAAGTACTATCAGACTGACTAATCAACCTAGGCCATACGCACAGTTAACCACTGCGACTCATAGACAGTAATGTATGTGTAAGTGGGGACAAATTTGCAAGTGCCATTTTGGCTGCATTAAGAAGGAAGTCATCGGTTTCAGATACAATTTTGAGCATGCAAAAAAAGTGTCTATGCTTCATTTCTATGATGGATGAAAAAGTTCCTCCAAATGGTTTAGCAGGAAGCAGCACTATGATGGATGGACAATTTACAGGTCTCCTGAGCCATTTCTTTAATCCCATCTTCTAGAGTTGTAGGTCATAGAGGTCTTGAAAGTAAATATTTATAAAGGATTCTGTCCTCTCTCCATTTTGAATGAAGTGCTGATTTTACATTATCCACAAGTAGTGTGGACCTCAGATTATATCAGAGAAACAGGAAATCTGAGTTCAGCCTCCAGCTCTGCTATTGACTTACTGTGTGACACCAAGCAAAGTACTCAGTCTTTGAGTCTCCATTCTGCCCCCAATTTGAGCTCAGGTTCGATCAATGAATATGTCATGCTGATGAAAATAAAAGTTTTTGAATATTATGGCAGAAAAAGAAAAGAATTCAAGAATTTAGAGGTGAAAAAGATGAGTCTAGCAATCATAAAATGGTTTGGAGTGCTCAATATCTGCTGTCATTAGGCAACACGTGGAGAAAGGTCCAGACAGCTATGACAGCAGACCATACCAGCATGGGCTCAGGCTGTGTCAGTGGTACACTATTCCATGCTACAGGAGGAAGGAGAGTAGAATCCTGCCCATGAGTTGCACTCCATGATTATTTAATGTGTTTTTATGTGTTATAGTTCATGGGCCCAGAGACAGATAAGCACACGTTGTAAATAATAAATTAAACACATTATCTGCAAAGAAGAGGGTACTTACTCCCCTTTACCCCAACAGTGAATCTATGCAACACAAGGCATGATTCTGCCCACAGTTTAGAGAGTTCCAAATCGAAAGGAGAGTTCACTCTACCGCACATGGAACAGACACTGTGAACAGCAATATAAGGGAAGTTAAAGGGACCAACAAGTTGGGTCAGTCTACATTAACAGATCAAAGAAATTTGGATTTCTCTCATCTCTTCTGCACAAAATTTAAAAACTTGCAGTTATTAAGTTCTACCATCAGTTACTGTCATGCAACCCCATTGTTTTCAATGGGAGCAGATCTGGACTTTTCATGCACTTGCAAATAGAGGGCTGAATGAGTCTAAATGTCAGGTTTCCCATCCCCCTTCCCACTGCTGACCCTATTCCCCCCTCCTGCCTCCATAAAGACAAACGTCTGTCTCACTCTAAGCAGCCTTCCTGCGCCAGGGAAGCCAATAGGTTTCTGGAAAGGCTAACAATGTCTGTGCTTTGTTTTCCTGCAGCTGGAATGTCTCCAAAGATGTCTCAGGTGCTGGCGAGATCTTCCAGAATGTCCATTAAGAGTTTTCTTTTCCTTCCTGCATTATTTACCATACAGTGCTGCATTCTATTTCTCCAAATCATAATTTCCCCTCACTGCTGTTTATATTACAACCTCTCAGAAATATGTTTCCTTCTAGTGGTTTCCAGCAGGATTTTTTTGTCTGTCTGCTCCATTAACACCTGTATTCAAACTGGTTTATTATTGTAAGGTTGCTCATAAAGGCTTGGCTGCAGATACCAGTTCCTACCAATAGGTTTGCTGCTTGGCTGCACATACTGATGTGCTGCTGCACATATTTTAGTAATTACAAGTGCTAGGCTATGCACCCCGCATTGTTATTGTAGGGATGCATCTGATTATCAGACCTCCACAGACAGGCACAGTGATAAAGGGTTGCTTCTTGATGGGCTGTGCACATTGGTTTGTTATTGCTGAGCTGCTTCTGATTGCTTATGAGGACTGGGGCTGTTGGAGATGATTGTTCTTACTGTAAACAGCATTTCTTCTGGCAACTGACTAAGAATAGTGTGATTTTTGTAAGAGGGTTAAGAAAGAAAAACAAACTACCACAGGATGAATTTTGGGCTGGGCAAGCTTTAAAATGTCCTTTTAAAGGTACCTCAGCTATTCCCCCTGCCTCAGACCTTCCATTGGAACTGACAAGATTTTTTGCACCAGGAAGGCTTCCCTTAAATAACAGCATTAACTTAAAGCTTCTCAACAACCCAGCACTGATATTAGCTTCTTGTTTCAAATCTAACTGCCCTGCTCCTGCTCTAACAGAACCTGACTGGAACGTGATCACGCCTCCCTGCCATGCATTCTAAACCAGGGCACCTGCCTGCTTGCTTCAGCAGTTTTTGGAAAAGTTCAGTGGAGTTATCTGGCTTTGAAACATAATTGCCTGACTGCAGTAGTGACTCCATTCTCCAAAGGCAAAAAGGAGAAAGCAAAAAAGAGGTGGGTGTACAGTATACAGCTGAGATTAGCACATTTCAGACATTAGATGCAATCTTTATTTTGGGGGGGAGGCCTGTTTTTCAGCACTGCTGGTGAACAGGAAGGTTAAAACAAAAAAACAAACTTGAAAAGAAAGATCACATAATATACACACACCCAGACACACAAGGACTCAAGAGCTGGGAGAACTATTTAATCCAAAAACCATTAATGGTTTCATAAATTATTATGCTTCAACTTCAAATCAAGAAATATTCATTTACAGCTAGAGGTTTGTAAATTAGGGTCAAGCAGGTTCATATTTTTAATTGCTCTCATTTGCACCTGAGTGTTATTTCTCATTGCTTTCAATTTCTTATTGCTTCCTCTCTAGGCCAAATTCGTCCCTGAAGTAATGCGACCAAAGTCAGTGAATTTGATCCTATAAGCCTGCTCTGTATGGATGCCTCTGATAAACTGCAGAGACAAATAGATTCCTGCCTGACCTGTCACATGTCTTTGTGGGTCTGACCGCCTGCATGTTCAATCCTCCAGCCACTGTAACCCAATTTCCTGAAAATCAAACTGCACGCTTCTCTGTTTCAGACATTACTGCTGTCAACAGCAGCTATTGCAGATAGTGGGGGAACCAGCCCTCCTAATTCCAGAGGGATTAGCATCCACAGTTTCAGACGGCAGCAGGATGTATGATGGTGCAGTGATTTAATATGCAGCTGGATTTTCACAAACTAGTTTGACTCTGCATGACTGAACAACTAGGATGAAAACTACTTGGTTCAGAAATTCGGTAACACATCACTGGAAGTCAAAGCTGAGGTTTGTATCTGTTTATTCACACAGTGTATAGAAATCATTTGCAGATTTGTGAATATAGTACAAACTTATCCAAACATCACTTACCTGTAACGGAGTCATGTCCTCTACAATCTGTCAGTGTCATTGAATGTTCTATGATTGTCCAAAACCTTGATCATTCAAGCTTACTCTGCGTCCTCTGGCATTTGGATAACAAACTCTGTTATCTATGTACAATGTGTGTGCAGCAAAGCACTACAAGCAGAGACAGTTTCCCATATGCCAGGCCAGAGCCCAGATACTAATGTACAGTAAAACCTGTGTTATCTAGCATGCTCAGGGATTAGGGAGTTCTGGTTATCTAAGGATCCCCATCAATCTAGGAAAAACCAATGGACAATAATAGTAAAACACAAGTTTTTAATATTGGTAGTTTTGTAGCGTGAGGCAGTTGGTCTCACATTTCTATTTTGAGTTAAAGATGATTAGTACTTCTTAAATAAAAAATTGTTAAGTCAATCATAGTAAACCAAGCCAGGCCTGTGTGCTTGAAGATGTGACAGTATTGTGGCTGAGGGCAATGCCAGTTAAAGTTTTCTGGTTAACAGAGTGCTGGATAACAAAGGTTTCACTGTATTTAAATTGATTGGTACATGCTGGAACCCTTAATAACAATGGATGTACAAAACCGTTGGTCAGAACCCCAGAAGAGAAGGAATTCACACGTTACATGGCTGGGAATGTGTGTGCACGCATTACCTGCCATCACTATGAGTGAATATGACAAGTGGAGATGAATGGTATAATACATAATGTGTGTGTATACACTATAAATATATATTCATATGTGCACACACAACCCACACCTTAGCAACAGTGGATTTTATGCATAGGCATCGAAAGAAAAATAAACCTCACTTAGTATAAACATGCCAGATGTAAATTTTGCTATGTTGTTTTTTGGCTGTGATGTTTTCTCTCTACATGGGGAAAACTGAAATCAAGAGAGTTGAATTTTTATGGTAGATGCTTTTTTTAAATCTCATACTCCAAGTCCTTTCAAATAACTGCTCAGTGCTTTTGAGATTGTAATAATTCTCAGACTTTGTGGGTAAGCATAATATACAAGTGATACCATGAGGCAGCAGAAGAAATTATATCTGCACAGTATATAATGTCAATTTATGCCTGTGAGTGTAGTAGTATTTTACATTTATATAGCACCTTTCATCCTGAAAACCCCAGAGGCCTTCACAACACCTCAAAAATGCAGCCATTTCTAGGTGGAGAACACAGAAATGCACCCAACAGTTAAGGAATTAGCTGACATTTTGGTCAAGGACAACAGTGAACAAATTCTATACTCCCAAAAATAGGACTTTTAAGAGCTCATTCAAAAGACATCTGGGCACACGCACATGCAAGCACACATGCGCGCATACACACTTATCTGCCTACAAGGATGAAAAGCTGAAGTGACCTTACCTGGATTTTGGCCTTGCAGTCTTGGTGGTAAAATTGTGTTTCTAAAGCCATTCCTCCAGGCCTATCAGGAACAACAGAAATGGGCATTACACGGAGTATGTAAGAGGAAAAGGAATTCTTTACCCTAGTCTAGTATCATAGGGGTAGCTGTGTGAGTCTGAATCTGCAAGAACAATGAGAAGTCCTGTGGCATCTTATAGCCCAACAGATATATTGGAGCATAAGCTTTTCACTATGCATCTGACCAAGTGGGTCTTTGCCCACGAAAGCTTATGCTCCAATATATCTGTAAGTCTATAAGGTGCCACAGGACTTCTCATTGTTCTTACCCTAGTATAGTATCTTGGTGTGGAGTGACAAATAGAGACTCCACTGCTTCTTCTTCAGTCCTTATGTGCGCCCATTACTTGCGTGATTTAGGTTTGTGTCTCTGTGTAGTGCTAAATCTATTACTCATCTACCCCTAACATGCTACCAAACACTGCCATATAGAGTCCTAGCTCATTCTTCATGCCCCAACCGTGTGCAGATGCACACACAAAATGTTCATCGGTTGTTTATTGTCAGGAGACTTAGCTCTGCATCATGTCATGTTCAGAATGAGATTCTCAGAGGCCATGGGGATTAGGAATCAAGGGGCAAGGGATCTGAGGTGTTAAATGAAAGATTAAGTTCCACAGTAACTGATGGGGTCATCACAGAAGGGCTGGCACAGCCAGCACTACCCACAAGCAGCTCGGTCTCAGCCCTGGCCTAGACAGAGCCTACGTGCTAGTTGGCATCTAACACAGCTTTTGAAAACTGACTCGGCAGGTCATTAACTGGATTTCAGGCAGGCACCAAGTCTGATATGACTGGGAGGTTTCCTCAGTCCAAGCCATTAAGAGTCCTTTTTTGATGCAGAGCCTCATGTGCCACACCAAGAATTCATAAGAACATAAGAACAGCCATACTGGGTCAGATTAAAGTTCCATGTAGCCTAGTAGCCTAGTCTTCCAACAGCGGCCAATGCCAGGTGCCCTAGAAGGAATTAACAAAAGTGATCCCTCTCCTGTCACCCATTCCCAGCTTCTGACAAACAGAGGTTAGGGACACCATTCCTAATAGCCACTGATAGTCCTAATCTCCATGAATTTATCTAGCTCTTTTTCTGAACCCTGTTAAAGTCTGGCCAGACCATTTTGCAAACTGGGTAGGGGGTTTGCTGTCTGTTCCATTAGCTCTTAATGAAACAGAAGAGCTATCCACTGACATCCCATTTTAGAGGGCAATGAGATAAACTCCATTAAAATGGTATCTAGGTTGCCAGGGGACAAGTTAGAAAGACATTACATAGCCTGGCAGTAAAAGAAGCAAGAGTCCCTAAAAATAAATCACACTAAAGCATATGCAGGCATTGCTAGGACACCTGAAGTTTGCACATATGGTCGCTCCACTGGGAAAGGCCTTTCTGCTGCAGGCGTGCAAATCAAAGAGCTTGCATCTCATTACCAAGGCTGAGGAGGCATCAGTCAGGCCTGGAATGAAATGGCCGAGATTCCCCTGGCACTATAATGTGGTGACAGTTTGGCAGCTTCAGCAGCTATGCAAGTCTGATTGGCCTCTATCTTTCACAGATGCTGCAGTGCTAATGGCTTGGGTGTTTACTTTCCAGGATGAGATGGTCTTGGCCTGTCACATGGAGCCAAAGGTCCCAGGATCAGCTCTCCAGATAGTAGAGGGTTACTTTGGAATTCTTCCTGATGCAACCACAATGCTTTTTGGTTCTAGTAACAGCAATCTGGGGAGGAGGTGAGGAGGGCTCTTAAAGGAGGAGCATTCTCCGGATCATGCAACAAGGCCTAATTGTTACACAGTCCACATGATCTACTTTATAGCCACTCAGAGTTTTTGTTCCCAGATGGCTGCTGTTGATTCTGTCCTTTACAAGCAATAAAAGAGGGTATCTGGTTTGTATGATACTAGCCTAATGTTTCTTCTCCTCTCTTCCCACACTACCATTCATCCCAAGGGGCCCCACTTCAGGTTCAATAATACATGAACACGTGCAAAATCCCATCCTTCTTGAGGATGGCACTAGAACATGCCTGTCTCACTCTAGAGAATCTCTCCTCAGTAGTTAGTGTGAGGTCAACAATGTTTCCTTGGTGTAGGCCAGATCCAATGTAAATCTGGAATAACTTCACTGAAATCAACAGAGTTGCCTTACTATCTACCTACCTACCAGCTTATACAGTGCCCATCACCTTGCAATTAGAATAGTTCCAAAGTGTTTAAAAATAACAATTTTCTTGGACTAACAGCAATGAACTACATCTAAGATCTGAACCTGGATCAGTGTTTTTAGTGTATTCCATAGGAAATGGAAGGAGATTGGCACATTTACGGCTTTGAGGAAAGACATGTGCTGGGAACCTTCCTAGTAGGGATTGTGGGGAAGGAATGCAAGTCAAAATGTGATGAAATGAATGCTATTTGGGACCAATTAATGTACAGCTTGTGCCACACAGAGACATTGTGGATTTATCACCCACTTGGCTGGAGAGATTCTCCCTTTCAGACATACACCCTTAGCTTCTGATTGAACTCTTGGGGATCTCTTTAGCACATTCCCTTCCATTAAATACCCGTAAAAACATTAACTGGTCAAACACTATATAATTTGAATAATTTAACCAATTAATTGTGGAGGGCTGATGTATCCCCGAAGCAGAGGTCCTGCTGGCTGCCCTGCCACAGCTAGAAGGCTGCTCCAGGCAGCGGGGAGGGGCTGCTCTGGCCCAGCTGCACTGTAGGCGGCAGGGCTGCTAATGCTTCCTGGGTCACCTCCTTTAACATCCCTTTTTTCCCCTCACTGCCTCTGTTATGCTATGTATGGCTTCATTTTCAAGTTCCTCTCCTTCAATGCCTTCACATATGTCCCTCCTCCATAGTCCCTCCCCTAGTCTACACCTCCAGATTTCAGTCAGCTTTGCTAGCTCTAATACTAAACATATACTGGACTTGCAAACTTTCATGCCCATCTTCCTTTCCTAATGGTTAGATGCCGCTGACCATGAGCTAGAAGACCTCTTCCTGTAAGTCTTCTCTATGCTAATAGTATATCTGGAAACCCCCCTCACTGTAGCATTGCTACCTACACTCTTGCCTAAAAACACAGCATTAAACAGTGTCCCCCGATATCTGCTTAACATCTATTTTGCTTTAACCTTTGCTAAAACTGACTCTATTCAGTTCATGCCTTAGTCTCAAGCTTGTTTTCAGACCCAATTTCCAGCTCAGTCAATGATGGCAAGACACTGTCAAAACAAACAGGTAAGCAAGCCTAGAAATCCAACTTGCTCTAATGAGTATTTGTTTAGTGCTGAATTTGATGGACTCTATAAGGAGAAATTTGACTATTACAGAAAGTAGCATGTGTACATCCACAGATGAAGATGTTAGGGGGAAAAAGTTTGTAATAGGAATCTTGCTATGAACCAGCTACTGTAGTAAATGTCACAATTACTCTTTAAAATGAGGAATGGATTCCCCAGCTCTACAACACAACATGATGTAGTCTTCAGGCCCATACCAGAAAGAGCTCAGCACCCTCAACTCCCACTGACTTGAATGGGGGTCAAGAGCATTTTGTGCCTGCAGGACTGGACCCTTTATTTCTAGAGTATCTTTCAAACACAGTGTCCTGTGAGATTTACAGGTCAAGCTTGTACATGGTGTTGAAATGAGAGAAAATAGTAATGCAACGTCAAGACACAGAATAAATGAAAGCTTCCCATTGTGGGGCTCATAAAGAAGATGTAGAGAGAAATTAAAAGGCAGAGGCAAGGGAGAAAGGAGATGCTGTAAAATGATATTTCAAAAGTCCTGGAAAGTTGACGAGGCGGAGAGATACAGGGACAGAATGTTTTGTAAAATGGATTAAGCTAAAGGAGCATAAAGCATTAGAAGCAAAGACTTAGGGCAGAAGGAGAGCACTTAAGGACACTGCAACAGAACTTTCTGTTCCTGGCAGCCTATTTGGGACACAATTCTGGGGTCTGCCACTTCTTCGGAGCTCACTTGTTGAGACAAGGTCACAAGGGCAACCCTGCAATGCTTGTGTGGCAGTGTAATATAATGCAGAGGCCTTCAATGGCACTGATGCAATTGAGCACAATGATGTTTGGTGGACATTGAGACCCTTCACGTCCCACAACTTGGACTACCAAGTGGCAACTCAATTGTAGGCAATTCAGCAGTTTGCTTTTGCAAGAGATCAGGCCAACAGTTCAGCCAGTTTAGATCTAAGCATTGTTCAGTGATCTGCCCCATTCTCCAAATTCCCCTGAACTGGTCTTGCAAACAAACCTCAAATCAAATCTCAGTCAACAATGAGAATTACTGCAAGGTTTAAGCCAAACCCATACAATGATCATGGGTTCAATGAAAGGCTAAAGAATATTCTGGAACTTTCCCACAATGCAATGTCTGGTGAAGGTGCACTGTATGTGTGCAATGTGCCTGTACAGGGTGTATGAGCATAGTGCACAGAAACAGTGTGTGAATACAGTATGCGTGTATGGAGCAGGGCCGGACAAAATATGGCCACCAAGCTCCTGCATACAGCTCATGGTCACGTGGGAGCCTTAGTCAGGCTCCCTGCCTGCCCTGCTCCTGCAAGCCAGAAAAGCTGGCTGGGGGGCCCTGTTTGTCTGGGAAAAGCTGCGAGCCCAGCGGAAGGGAGAGGCTTTGCACTCTGCCCCCACCCCCAGCACAATCTTGTAGCTCCCATTGGCCAGTTCCTGGCCAATGGAAGCTGCCTGTTTAAAGAACAAGCAGCGTGCAAGTTCTCCTCCCCTCAGGCTTGCAACTGTACATAGACACGCATGGCCCCACAGTCGACTGCTCTGAGTGGCCTGCTGGGGCAGGAAAGGCAGGGAACCTGCCAGGCTGCTAGCCAGGAGTTGCCCAGGAAAGCGTCTCCTGGCCACAGCCTGCCTCAGGCACTCCAGCCCTACATCCCCCTAACTCTCTGCCACCCCACTCCTGTCCCCTACCTCACAGAAGCCAAACCCTCTGCCCCTGCTCCTGAACCTAGACCTGGCACTCCAATCCCTTGCCCCAGGTCACTAACCCCTCCAGCCCAAGTTCACAACCCAAACCCCTGCGCCCCAGTCTCCTGCCTCAGGTCGCAACCCCCTGCTTCACACAAACTCCCTCCCAGACCCCACATTTCCTCCTGCACCCCAATACCTTACCCCAAGTTCCCTTGTGCACCCAACCTCCATCCTAGATCCTGAACCTCTTCCATTAATATCTTAGAAGAGCGTGGTCCTTGACCAATTATTGCCCACCTCTGGTGTGGAGTGTGCACAGGCAGTGTAAAAGCAGCATGTGTTTTCTTCCCAAAGACCAGGGTGGAGGTGGATCAAGAGGAGTGTGGAGGAGAAAGGAGGCAAGGAAGGTGCAGAAGGGTTAAGACTGCAGTAAAAAAAACTAACAATGTTAGGAACCATTAAGAAAGGGATAGATGAGACAAAAAATATCATAATGCCACCATTTAAATCTGTGGTACTCTCACATCTTGAATACTCTATGCATTTCTGTTTTTAACCTCTCAAAAAAGATCTTTATATACAAGTTTGGTACCTACAATAGAAATACCAAGTATTTAAGAATATTTAGAACTCTCTCTATCAGCTTCATTTAGCATGGAAACGCTAATTGGCTATTCTCCTTTTTTTTTCCCTCCGTTCTTTTCCCTCCCCATCCCGTCACTTTCTCTGCTATTTATTTGGAACTTGGACCACTTAAACTCCATTCATCTGAAGAAGTGGGTCGTGCCCATGAAGTAGCTGCTTTTGTGGAAAAACTTGCCAGCTGTCTACACTGGCCGCTTGAATTTCCTCAAGAACACTGATGATCTCATGTAAGATTGTCAGTGTTCTTGCAGAAATACTATGCTGCTCCCGTTCGGGCAAAAGTCCTTTTCCGGAAAAACTGTTCCGGAAAAGGGCCAGTGTAGACAGCACAGTAGTCTTTTCTGCAAAAAGCCCCAATCGCGAAAATGACAATTGGGGCTTTTTTGCGGAAAAGTGTGTCTACATTGGCATGGACGCTTTTCCGGAAAAAGTGCTTTTCCGGAGAAGCATCCTGCCAATGTAGACGCGCTTTTCCGGAAATACTTAGAACGGAAAAACTGTTCCGTTTTAAGCATTTCCGGAAAAGGGTGCTAGTGTAGACGTAGCCAGGCAGATCTGCATCCATTGAATCAGAGTTGCAATGCAGGTCAACTCCCAAGATTGCCTTGGTCTTGTGCAGACTGGATCAACTTCTGAAGCACCTGAGTGCAAGGCAGGCATCAAACCCTGCCATTTCTCTTTGGTATTGTTTTTATACACACATTGCACAGACATGAATGACAACAAAGTGCCAGGCAGAGTAGAAGCAGACCTGACCTGCATAGAATACATTTTCTGTAGCAATAATGGGGGTAACACTTGCTTGGTATCATGTGGCATTGCTTTAAAACAGGAACCGAGGTGGGGAACAGAGGGCCCAAGGGCAGAATCTGGCCCCTGGCTTGTCTGAATCCGGCTCCCTGAGGCTCAGGGACCCCCCCAACATTGGGGAGCCTGCACTGGCACTCCACCCCCAACCCCCCGCACAGCTGGAGCACACAATCTAGTCTGGACCTCCCTGGCTCTGGTGTATAAGGGGAATCTCTCTCCTCAGTAGGGGGCCACATCAGTGAAGGGTTTTTTTTGTTTTATTTGCTTCTCACTCGTGTGCGGCCCCCGACCCAAAAAAGGGTCCCCACCCCTGTTTAAAAGTCTCTACCTTTCACCTATGCTACGTCTAGACTGGCATGATTTTCTGCAAATGCTTTTAACGGAAAAGTTTTTCCGTTAAAAGCATTTGCGGAAAAGAACGTCTAGATTGGCACGGACGCTTTTCCGCAAAAGCACTTTTTGCGGAAAAGCGTCCATGTCAATCTAGATGCGGTTTTGTGCAAGAAAGCCCCAATGGCCATTTTCGCGATCAGGGCTTTTTTGCACAAAACAATACCACGTTGTCTACACTGGCCCTCTTGCGCAAAAGCATTTCTGCAAGAGGGCTTTTGCCCGAACGGGAGCAGCATAGTATTTCTGCAAGAACACTGACAATCTTACATGAGATCATCAGTGTTCTTGAGGAAATTCAAGCGGCCAGTGTAGACAGCTGGCAAGTTTTTCCACAAAAGCAGCTACTTCATGGGCACGACCCACTTCTTCAGATGAATGGAGTTTAAGTGGTCCAAGTTCCAAATAAATAGCAGAGAAAGTGACGGGATGGGGAGGGAAAAGAACGGAGGGAAAAAAAAAGGAGAATAGCCAATTAGCGTTTCCATGCTAAATGAAGCTGATAGAGAGAGTTCTAAATATTCTTAAATACTTGGTATTTCTATTGTAGGTACCAAACTTGTATATAAAGATCTTTTTTGAGAGGTTAAAAACAGAAATGCATAGAGTATTCAAGATGTGAGAGTACCACAGATTTAAATGGTGGCATTATGATATTTTTTGTCTCATCTATCCCTTTCTTAATGGTTCCTAACATTGTTAGTTTTTTTTACTGCTGCTGTGCAGGTGTTTTCAAGTCTCGGCTTGACAAAGCCCTGGCTGGGTTGATTTAGTTGGGATTGGTCCTGCCTTGGGCAGGGGGCTAGACT